ATCCTCCTTAAAAGTTTTGTGTATACTAGGATTAATCTCAGGAAGTTTATCGTTAGCCAGTAGTGGTACTTGTATGCTAATTGAATAGTACCGGCACAACAGGACCTTTAACTGCAATTAACATTCATATAGACCAGTAACCTCAGTAAACGACGGGATTTTCCCGAGATAGTTTCTCTGTAGCTTGATCTGGGGTGGGAGTCGATGGCTCTGAGTGGGCTGTTATCGTTCAGGAAGAAGATCAGAGGGTGATCGTGGATGGTTCTTGGAAGCCGTCGTCTCAGCGCCCAGCGGAGGGCTCACCGGGTCAGGCAGCAGGAGAGCTGCGAGGGAAGGCTGATAGCAATCCGTACGGTGTCATCGTGACACATTCCTGAATACCGCCAGCACCACACCAGGATGCCTGTAGCAGGGGCTGAGAAAGCTCAAAGGCAGGCAAAAGGGATCATTAGGACGCGACACAACAGCATCAGTGTAAGAGAAATAGAAGTAAAACAGGATTTTTCAACATGGGAAGTGATGAGAGGGGAAAAGACTTTACAAAGTACAGTTCTAGAAAATCATTAAATGGGTGATGATAAACGTAAGACAAGTATTCACTATTCCGTATCAGAAAAGAGCTAGGGAGAGCCTAAACAAGGTGTCAACACGACTCTTTTTAACATGAGAATATGGTGGAATTCATTGCGTCAGGTTGCTGTGGGGCACAAAATCACAAAGCGAACAAAAGGCAGGAGGGAAGTTTGCAAAGGATAGGGCCACTGCTAAGCAGTGGATCTTGGTAGTCTAGGAACTGCTAAATTCCCAAATTTAGAGTGGTGTGCTGGGGACAAGCCCCACATGGGCTGTTTCTTGACCTTCTTCCCTAAACCTCTGCTGCTGGGCCCTGTTAGGCGGTATTGGGCCGGGTGGACTTGATCTGAGCCAGGTTTTAGTTATGTTCTTAGCCAGTGCAACGCTGCAGAACATAGTACAAGTAATTAGTAGAGACGGAGTAGTTTAGGCTTGTTGGTAATGTTCTGTCAGGCTGACATACATCTGTGTGGTTATTTATAATTTAACTGCCAAATCCCCGCTCATGCAGTAAGACCTAGAGAAATGAGTCGGGGAAGAACGTGTGCCAAGAAGGCTCTCCTGAGCTCTCTTATCCCATTTGTCCAGGACATGGGATTTACCCCCATGTTAAATTAAACATGGTCCTACAGCTGGTTTTGAGACCTGGACCTCTGGAGTCAGTTGACATGCTTTGCATGGGAAGCTTCAGAAAGCAGAATTTAGGTTCCACCAACACATCCTAGCTTCACATCTCTTCTTTTGTTTGGTCTGGTCGTTTAGTTGTTTTCTTTCTTTTGCTCCCATGTCTCATGTTTGTTTTTTAATCAGGGAGCAGTGAGCAATAAAGAACCTTTGTGTTCCTAATGGGCAAAGCAAGAAGAGTTTCCTGTCTTCTCTCCCTTAATTCTTTTTCCTTTAAATACGGATGAGAGTAGTTTGGGCACTTCACCCCCACATTTCTATTGAATTGTGTTCTCTTCACCAAAAAACTCCTGCTCTTAGGCCAGTGACTTGAGATAGTCACCTGTGGTGCTCCACTCCCTCCCGGGCAAGTTCAGATCCTGCTGGGTTCTGCTCCCCCCAGTTTTATGTCAGTGTTACAAGAGCATTTCTACAAAAGCGATAAGACCTGTTCTAGTAGAAAAGACAAGTTGTTTCTAAAGATTAGCCGCAGAAATAACGAATCAAGTAGATGTCACCAGGCAGCATAGCAATAGGAAATTAGTATTCATGTTCGTGTAATGAATGAAAATTCTTTAAACCCCAAGTACATACCTTCATTTATATATATTTAATAGGAAGTGCTGTGCAGCCTCAGATCATACAGCATACTCCGGAAAAACACTTCAGGCTGTGTCTTTGCACAAGTTCATTAAGCAGGGCCAGCACACGCCGAACAGGTACTGCCACATGATTGTCCACACTGTTTATTTGTTAGCTCACAATCAGCGTTGCTCAGAAATAAGTAGCACTCTCCCAAACAATTCCTGGGCCTGGGTCAGGGGTTAGCACAGGCCAGGGACCATTCCCCATGGCGAGCTCGCATGCAGCCATGCTGATTTTGAGAGGAACAACATTTAGCTCTGTGGACATCAGCTACGCTGTACTAATTGGCCTCAGGGCTAGCCATCCCCATTCGCTCTTTATTGGATTTTATTTCAATTTGTTTCAATTACAAATATTGCTCTGGAGCAGTAATAGATTCTGAAGGAAAGAATCTGAAGGAAGTCTCCAGGGCACTCACAAAATGTCCATGGCTAAGAAAAATACATATATATATATATTAAAAAAATATTTAGATGATTCTTCTCTTCTTGGTCATGCTTTGCAGTTACACCAGCGACCACAGCAGAGTTACCTCTAGCAGCCATAGGCATTTCAAGAGATGAGCTTCAACAGGATACACCAGTTGTATGGTAAAGAATTTTCCAGTGATGTATCAAGAGCATGCAGTTTTGACCCATGACACACCTAAAGCCTCAAGCCTCAGCCTCTTGTGGCTCATTCCATATATTTTTGGATGTGGATGCCCCATCCCTGGAGGTGCTCAAGGCCAGGCTGGATGGGGCTTTGGGCAACCTGGTCTGGTGGGAGGTGTCCCTGCCCATGGCAGGGGGTTGGAACTGGGTGGTCCTTAAGGTCCCTTCCAACCCATTCTGTGATTCTATGATCCGTGTATCCACTTCAACAGGAACAAGAAAATAAACTCGAAGGAATATATGCATCATTGTACCTCTTCCAGGTACCTCTTCACGTGCTTCACTGGCTGATCAATGCTGTGCATTTGGAGTGCACGCGCTGAAGCGTCTGCTCCTGCTGCTCACCCCTGCTTGGCCACAACAGCCGCACCTCTTTTACCCTGGATGTTAAATCAGGCAGCAATCCCAGTCCCTTACCGGTCCGAAATGGCTTGGAACAGCACAGAAGAGACACAAGTAGACAGATGAAGGGAGGAGCAGAGCTGAGCTTTTTTTCCTGGCCCAGTTGTTTTACTCCTGCTAGGTGGCTGATCAGCCTGACTGCTGCCCCTCCAGTTCTACACGTCCTGCTTATTTTTGTTGGAAAGCCTTCCAAACGGCAGCGGTCCCTGACTATGTAGGTTACCTAACACGACAGATTGTGCCTGCAGATGTTACCGCAATGCTCGTAACTCACAGTCATGCAAAACTACACTCCAGAACTAAGACAAAGTTAATATAACCAGGATGGCTATGGAAATATGTCTGTAGGGGGCCTTTTGCAACATTTCTAGTAATGGTATTGTGCTGTTACAGTTGTCAGTGTTGTTTTTCTTTGAGATCCACAAATCTGTGTATGTTTTTTTTTTTTTTTTTCCTAGTCTTATAGAACCAAAGGAATTTATTCATTAGTTCATAACATTTCATTGTTGTTGTTTTCTTAAGACATTATAAATACATTTAATAAAATTCAGCGTTGGGCACATCTCCCTGCACTAATATAATGCAATTACAATAGCCTAGCAAACATTAATAATTGCAACTACAAGAATGAATTACAAGGGGGCTTTGAAAGTGAAATAACAATAGGCAAAATGTCACCAAAAACCTCAAGCTGGCAGAATCAACTAAAGCAAAAAGAAACCCACTTCAGTATCAATTGTTGAACATGTTTGTTTCTTGCATCTCTGAATTATTCTCCACAGAACATAATCAGGAGCAGTTCCTGCTCAAAACAAAATTAAGGGTAGGGGAGAATAAATCAACAGCTAATTGTAACATTTATTATTTAGCATTCCTCTTCAAAGAATTATGTGAGGATTTGGGTCTTAATGCAATCATTATCTAATGAAAGCTTTTGCCTCTCTATCTTCTATAAAATAGTACTTAACTCCTTGAAACAGTCGTCAGAGTTCAACACAAAAAGCCACAGCTGGAGTTTTTCCCACATGCAAAGAGCTCAGTTACTGAAATCACTTCCTCTTCGCTTGCGTCCTACATGCAGGGCAGGAAACGTGGGATTTCACTTTGCTGTCTTGTCCCTTTACATGGATCCATCCCTCTGCCAGCAGTGGATTCAGTGCCTTGAGGTACAAGTCGATGGCTCCTGTAATCTATTGCCAGAGTACAGAATGTCCAGATTATAATTAAGCCCTGACCGCTTGGTATTTACTTTTATTGCACTAATACCGAGAGGCCCCAGTGAGATTGGAGCCAATTGTGCTGTGTGCTGTGCACACTCGCAGCCATTGCCTCAAAGACCTCACAGAGCAGGGCAAGAGAAAGAAAGTATTATTTTCCACAGCAGCACAAAGAGCCTTAATTTTCCTGCTGTTCTCCTAGAGGCACTCATCCTGGGAGACACAAGGAATGAACCTGTCCTGTATGAGTAATCAGCGCAGATGAAAGCATACAAATATCCTCTTATCTCCTGGTTTATCTTTCGATGTTGTGCTTCTTTCCCAATGAGGATAATAGCTGTGAAAATAAGAGTGAAGTCAGCACTGGGCAGGGATGCTGTAGTGTCTGGAGCACCAGAAGCACTGGAAGCAGGCAGGAGTCTTGCCTGATGTGCTCTGGCTCCTGCAGCCAGAGCAAGCACTTGGCAAAAGCAAGGAGAAGGATTATATCTGTCAGAGTAACTTTTATGGGACCCAACTCTTCCAGGGATTGTTTCAAATCCACATAACGCTCTCGAGTGTTAATACTAGCACTGGGACATTTGCATTAGCAGATAAATGTGCAAGAACACGCTTCCAGACATCTGCCTTGTGACTGCACAACTGAGCAGTCTGCTGAAACTTGGTCCAAGGTCCACGAGGTCCTTGGGCTCCTGAAATGACTTCCAAGGTTTGTAATAAATTGTGCTGCTAAACTGCACTGCAGTTAAGCAACTCTCACATGATAGAAACAATGTGTGGTGTACTGCACTAAAACCACCCGATGTTATTTTAACTTTTCAGCCTTTGAATGTGTTCAGAAGGGAACAGAGGCATTTTGCTAAAGAAATTCATACCTACAAGTGTTGTGAAAAAAAAAAAAAAAGAAGAAGAAGAAAAGATACGATGATGCCCTAGGTCTATCCACCTCATTACTCAAGACTAGTGGATAATTCTGGTCTTTGCTGTGCTTTGTGTTAGCCCAAAGTGAGGAGGACGAGTGTCGTTGTTAAGGTGTAAGCACTCCCTGAGATTTCTAGGGAGCCCACTGCTTACGTCTCTCCAGCTATGGCTGTGGTTTTTTGGCCATGTCAGGATGAGGTCTCGGATGTGCAATGCCAGAGGCTGGAAGTGGTGGTGTCGAGGAGGGAGGGGTTCATTTGCAAGCAAGCCCAAAAAGCTTTGCAGTGTGTTCAAGTTTCCCTTCCTGGTGCACACACTGGCTTGCGTCAGCGTGTGAGTCAACAAGCAGGTGGTATGGGCTTTCAGGGAGCTGGGGCTGGAGCAGGAGGACCAGCCGTGAGCCTGTATACACCACACACCTCTGTTCCCTCCTGCCAGGTGGGGACGATAACGCTGCTGCGCTGCGGGTGGGTGTTGTGGAGGCAAACCTCACAGAAAGGGCAAGGGGCTCAGATACCGCTGCCACGGGTATGGGATTATGGCACAGATTTACTTTGTTCCTTTCTCTAACACAGTTATTATTATAAAATTCACCAGTAATAATCTGTTATTTGGCTTAGATAGGAGTGTTTTTGTGTTTTTTTTGTTGTTGTTGTTGTTGTTGTTGTTTTTTTCAGTCATAGTTAGGAAGATCACAACTGCCAGATTTCGGATGTAAGTTCAAATTATTTCAGATAAGATCCACTAAGGCACATCAGCAATAAACAGCTGGGGTGGTTCCTCCTGTAAACAGCTTCTTACACATAAATGGTGCAGATCCATGCAAGCGTAAGCCAGTGTGGTAGCTATCTTGTGCAGTACTGGATATCTGGAAACAAAAGCAAAAGCAGGACAGCCTGCTTGTAGAACCTTTACCCAAATCAATAGGGCAAAATCTGCGTGCGTACTTGGTATGACTGAGGCAATTAAAAGCATAAAAAGGGCACACTGTTGCTAAAAATAGGCCACTGGGGAGTATCCCATCTCAGACTCAGCACTTGGCAAGAGGGTAGGTGCTGCAGTCATTTGTTATGAACCTGGCCTTTGTTTTGCTTAAGGACCCATGAAGCGTGTGGTAAATAAACATATACTGCAGCGGCTGCCGCAGGTTGGCAAAAGTACCCAGGACTGAACCTGCATTTTATTGCCTAGCCACCTCAAATCTTAAAAAACCTGCTAACCACAAATCGATACAGCAAATCAATGCAGTGGCATTTCACCACTGCGTTATTCTGCTTCCAGAATAAAAGCTAAAAGGAAAGCTATACATGAAAGTGGGAGGGGACACGGTATGGCCAGATAAATGCACACCAACACAGCGTGTTAGACTCCGGTGAAGTGATGCCTGTGTGATGCAATGCAGTTGTAGGATTACGTCTGCTAAGTATAGGCTTGTTTTCTATCCAGCATCTTGTGCTATCCTTGCTTTAAAAGATTAACTAGATTTATAAAATTTAAAAGTAAAATAAATTAAGAACTGTTTATAAATGAGAGATCAGCTTGGCATGGTAAAGAACCCGCTTGGCTTAATCACATTTTATGATAATTGAAAGAAGTGGCTCTGTGAGGCTGCTGAGTAAGAAAATCTCTGAGAGATCGGAGCTTTTGCTAAAAGTCTGCTCCTCCAGTTGCTGTGGAAAAGAAGGGGGAATTCAGCTTCCCCTCTTTCCCACCTCCCAGCTGAGTGCTTTTACTGCCAGAGGTGGGCAGTGCATAATCCACCTGCTTCCTGGTTCTCTTTCAAGGGAGAGGTTTGCCTGCTCTGGCTGTTCCTGATAGACAAGGATCAAGAGCTGACAGGGGCTGGAGAACTCCTCCTTTTTGCATGGTCCTGATATGCGAGGCAGGTGCTGAGCACTCTCTGACTCCAGGGGTGACTCCAGCTGCCTGCAGGGCCAGGTCACAACTGGTCACACAGACATTGCCAATGTGCCTACGTGCCAGCACCCAAAAAGTCTGATAGGAATCTAAGACTTTAAGAACATGAATCACGACGGATACCTGAGAGGGCTCTAAGTCTCCAGTCCTGACTTTTCCTCAATTCATTTCTTTAATTTTACTCATTGCTGAGACTTGTTTGCTGAAATGCTCAAACCGACACACGCAGTTCCTCGCAGCATGGGAAGCCTCACCCTGCTCTAGCCGAAACACGTTGTTGACTTTTCTCGTAGCTTAAACATTTGGAACACATCTGTATTTGAATCTCATAAAACATGTGTGCACACATACCTGTATTTATCAGATTAAATCAAACTATTTTAATTGTGATTCAGTTCAGAGATAGATTTTAGGTTGAGTAGCAGAAAAAAAGGCCAGGGTGTTGTAGAGAAATTACCGTGTTGGAGAGACCTTCTGGCATCAGTGCACCTCAAAACTACATAGATCCTAAGCCTGCAGAGTTGGGGGTACAGCTCTGGAGACCATAACAAACCTTTCAGCAGGAGGAGAAAGTAAGCAAACGAAATACAGAGGCATCCCCTGGCATGTTTAGTTAATGAAGAGCATGTATGTGATTTTATCGGTGTTGTTAGTGTTTGGTCTTGTAAGAGGGTGAGGGAATGCTGTATGCATGGAAGTCGGAAGACATGGAGGAACCCCATCTGAAAACAATCAGAGGAGACAAGAGCCGAGGTGAAAGGCTCAGTGGATTACTCTAAAGAAGGAGATTAGTGTCAATTACAAAAGCATTCTGAATAATATTTCACAGTGGAAGAAAGCTGTGGATTGCATTCTGTTTTTATGGAAACAGGAAGAAAGATGACACAGACAGATTACAGTATTCCTATATGAAGATCCTGGGTAAACTAACTCAGCATCAGTCCTTCAGGCTTTCTCTAAAGGCATGAGAGAGTATCTAGAACAAAAACATGCTGAGAAAGGTTTGGATTCCAGAAACACGGTGACTCATGCATTTCCAAAACAGTCTTATAACGAGTTGCTGTCCAAATTTCCTACTATATTATATGTAATGCACATTCAGTGGTGCTGCTGGCATGCTTCCCTCTGAGTCAGTATTGAACCAATGCCCCAGTTCAGTTAGGCGACCACTGTGCTGCTGGAGCTTCTGTTGGTACGAATAGATGTAAAACAAATGTCCTAATTCCTTCTTAGTCATTAGCATCGACTTGCAGACAGTGGGGACTCATTCATCACTAGCCCGATGACCACATACAGAGACGGGTAGCTACTTTCAGCATCGCTGTGCCCGTCCAGTTGGCTGTGGTAATTTTCACTTGAGTTAACATTTAGCATTGTTCTGGGGAGCTGGGCTCTTAAGTTACATAAAGAGAACAGGAAGCTGGGAGGGAGAATTACTCTATGGATGTTTTCTCCTTTTTTTTTAAGTACCCGATGCAAAGGTATTATGTCCTAATGCTACGTGATCCTTCCTGTGGATCAGATCCTCCTCACATAGTTTGCCTAGACCTCGGAGGCACGGGGAACCATGGGGCGTGGTGGGAGGATGGTAAACGAGAGAAAATTAAAAGTATTGGCACTGGCCTTACCCATACAGACACAAAGGGATTCCGAGATGCCAGGAGCAAGGTAACTTGCTTACTCCACAAACCCTGCAATAGTCTTCCATGGGAATTTCTCCGTTTCCCTCTTCTTTCTACACTGAGTTTTACTGCTAATAAGAGAGCGGCATTTCAGCCTCTGGGAATTATTGACCTGTCTGTGAGAAGTTCAGTACAGCTTGGAAATGAAGTAGATGGTGGGTCACTAATAAAGTATTAACAGCATTGAGCTTCACAATCACATTGAGCTGAAACAATTGTATCCAAATCTGTTGAAAGTGCACAAAGACATCAGACAACAATCCAAAATATGGGCCTTTCTCTATGTATTAGATGCCATCACAGAAATAAGGAAAGAATGCCCTTCCCTTCCCTTCCCTTCCCTTCCCTTCCCTTCCCTTCCCTTCCTTCCCTTCTTCCCTTCCCTTCCCTTCCCTTCCCTTCCCTTCCCCCTTCCTTCCTTCCCTTCCCTTCCCTTCCCTTCCCTTCCCTTCCCTTCCCTTCCCTTCCTTCCCTTCCCTTCCCTTCCCTTCCCTTCCCTTCCCTCCTTCCTTCCCTTCCTTCCCTTCCCTTCCCTTCCTTCCCTTCCCTTCCCTTCCTTCCCTTCCCTTCCCTTCCCTTCCCTTCCCTTCCTTCCCTTCCCTTCCCTTCCTTCCTTCCCTTCCCTTCCCTTCCCTTCTTCCCTTTTTTCTCCTTTTCCCCCTTTCTCCCTTTCTCCCTTTCTCCCTTTTCCCTTTCCCTTTCCCCTTTCCTTTCTTTTTCTTTTCTGTTAATGTACTGGTAGTTTCCTTGAAAGAAAGAGATCCTGAGGCTCTACATACCTTCCTAGCAAAACTTCTGCCCTCTGTAAATCTGTCTGCTTTATACCACGTGACAATCTGGAAATAAGAAATTATATCCTAAAGGCAATTTAATTGAATTGATAGTCTGGTCTTAAGGAGTCATGTTTGAATTTTTCCCAGAGCACGTTACTTGTCTGCTGAAATAGAGTGAATTTTTAAGGGTTAGGTGTTGCCTAATGCGTGCTGGAAAACCACCTTTGTAGATTTGCACTGAGGCAAGTTGGTATTTGAATTTGCTGGAATGCTTTGCATATTCATATGGCCCGAGGGCTGGAAACTTTTTATCACCAGCAGAGTAGCACAGATGACAGTAAAGATAGAGTTCAGGCAATGGAAAATGAGATGAAAACAATTGTTGAGACTCAAGTTTTCGTCAAAACACTTTTTTGAATGCAGAAGTCCAGATGTCTCTTGTAGAGATGTACTGATTTGCAATTATGCTCTACTGGATCCCAGAGACAGCTCAGATAAGTACAGCTTGGTCCTCAGATGGACTCTAGAAGTAAATATGGCAAACACAGCAGCTTTTCTTGGCTGTAATAAGAATGACATGCCATGTCCCTGCAGCTCGCAGTAAGGTGAATAACTCCCTTCCTACAGCATTTCCTTCCCTACAGCAGTCTTGCTGGCGAGGTCACAATTCATTTTTCAGCAGTGATGGTTTCCACAAATCTTGCTCTTGGGGATACAACTCTCCTTCCAAGAACCTCTCCTGAATGGCAGGACAGTAAAAATTAGACATTGTAATGAACAGCAGCCTGAATCTGGTGTCTTTTTGAACCTAGTGCTAAGAAGTTTATTATCTGCTTCAGTGCTCTCTGAAACAATCCAGAGAGACATCTCACAGTTGTCCTTTTTTTTTTTTTTTTTTTTTTCAATGTCCATTTTATGACACCACTCTTAGAAACATTTAGTTGTAAAAATAAGTCAAGAACAGGGCTACTGAAAGATGAGGGAAGCCCACGGGTGGCTCTCATGCTACCAGTTAGTTTCTGGTCCTGCAGCTGACAGGATCCATAAGCCTTCCTTATGTCTGGAGATCTCTGGGTGTGTGCAGACAGATTCCAGTGCATACAATAGCTGGAAAAAATGCTGCTGCAGCTTTGGAAAACATGTTTTTTCTTCACAATTACGATTCATTTATGTAACAGCAAGATGCAAACCTAAGACTGCGGTTGGCAGCACAGCAAATAATTAGGGATGCTTTACCTTGTGGAATATATTAATGAGTCATATTAAATAAAGTGTTGTGTATTCACATTAATTGGGAATGTTCATGTACTCCATTACATGACAAGTGAAAAAAAAAAAAAAAAAGTGGAAAGAAAGAAAAAAACACCAGAGAACAATGCAACATGCACACACCCAAGAAAGGGAAAGAAAGAAAACCTGTTGAATAAGTATCGCTATAAAAAGCAGTGAAATGTTTGCCAGAGACCTTGTAGTCTTTTACATGGATTTACAATTGCGTTTGATCCTCCTCCTCCAATTTCTCATGAGACCCTTGTCTAGCTTTGTCATTCTTTATTATGAGACTGACATCAGTCAGCTGGTTTGTAGCCAATTGCACTAATAATAAACTGGCAGGGAGATCAGGAATTACTGGAACTATTTGGTCATCTTGAAGCCGAAAAAGGAGGCCTACTCCAAAACTCTTAAAGTCAAAAAAGGAACACTCTTAAATGCCATTTCTGTAATAGTTGTCTTGCAGCAGAAAAAAAGTCCATGAAGTTCAAACTGTTTCAGTTCATTTAATACTCTGCTGACCTTAGGGCTGTGAGGAAGGCCTGGACACAGAATCTTTCTCCCCCAGGAGAGACTCATTTAATATTAGCAAACAAAAATACATATGGTTGAGGATGCAAACATTTAAAAGCATAGAAATAAGAATTAAGAATGACTTTCCACCCCGTATTGCCTACAGCTTTGTAAATATTGTGCTCCATTTGTTTCACAAGGTTTGCAGTTGAAGACGTGACATTTAGACCACGTAGGCTCTTGCATCAGCTGCAGAGCACACCGGTGGATTTGCACGTGTGACTGCCTCACTTGTGCAGTTTTTTGAAGACATTCAGCTCTCCTGGGCTGAAATCATTCACTTACAGCTTTATAGTGCTAATCTGGCTCAATGGAGTAGGCTTTCTTTGGGATATCTGGCTGATTGCTTCTGAGTATCTGGCTGAAGGGAGAGCTTGGTGGAGCTCAGAAGTATCTTACTAACACTCCTGTGAATGGTAAGAAGATGGAAGCAATCATACAATGCTCCTTCTGTCTACCTCTTTAGTTTTTTGGGGTGGAACTCCACACATCCTGAAGAAGCTTTTGCCATTAGATGCCATTTTTACATCCATCTCCTATTATCTCTTCTACAGCCCTGGAGTGCTACAGAAAGACACCACAACACATTTTATCCCCTTTGAAAGTTCATGAGGAACAGCACAGCCATCCTCCACAGAGTTACACCAGGCTTGGCAGTGAGGAAACCTGCCAGCTGCAGGGCACCTCCCTGGGTGCGAATGGCCGGGAGCTGGATATAGCCTGGGGCAGCTGCAGCTGCTGGTACCTGTATTACACCGAGCTCCTCAACTGCTCCCTCCCCTTTTACTGCCAGTAAAGGGAAATGAGCCTCTGGAGCTCACTCACATCACCATAGCTGGTGGATAACATAAAATCAAAATCCTTAGAGCTAAAAGCGTTTATTGTTGCTGAGTGCCAGGCTGTCAGGCAGGCCGCTGCCATGCACCCGTCCTCTCGAGCACCTCTGGAGATCGATGTGCAGGCACGGTGCAGCTGGTCACAGCCCTGCACGGCCAAACTTCATGGCAAAAGGGGGCAATGTGTGCTTCGGGAGTTCAAGCAGCAGCGTACAGATGCCTGTTATTTGTGTGAGGCCTACCGGCTGTGCCCACTCTCAATAGGTCAGTACCAGGTTGGGGGTGCTTAGGCCTCTAGATCCCCAAAACAGCTTTTTTCTACTCCAGTCACACACTCAGTGGTTCCTTTGTAGCCCAGTCACCGGTGGAGGAATTGGTACCTGCTACACCTATTCATCAGCTATAGACAAACTCTGATCAGGGGCTGCTTGTCGTTGGGTTAAGCAAGACTGGATTAGTTGCTCTAAAAAGCAGTATACAATGGGTAGGTGCTGATGCCAACACGGAAATACAAGCCAGAAAACTCAGTTCTGGGTCTTCTCCGACTTTATATATACTTCGGCTTAACATTTTAAAATAAATGTGGTCAGAAAAGTTCACAGTCTCCCCTCCAGCTGTCTGCTAGGTTGAGGTTTGTGGCTCTAGTCAGTAATGAAGGTAGGGAACTGCATGGAAATTCACACAACACTTTGAAAAGGGAGGATCTTCTGCAGGTCTCGGACCATTCCTTACAAGTGTTGTTGAAGAGGACAGAGCACCCTTAGTGTTTTTTTTCGTCCCCAGAAATACATGACAACATGTACACACAACGGATTATTCACCAAATGTAGAGGGTGCAGCTTGGTGCATACTTTCCGTGTGGTTCAAGTGCTATAAAATACTCCACGGAGAAATGCTGCTGACAAATAACTAACACTGAACAAGCTCAGAGGGGAGCAACAGTGCAACTACACACAAGTCACAGAGCCTTTATGTATTTTTGTCCAAAGATTCAGAGAAAAGAAAGATACATCCTGGGACTAAACAGCCACTGGAGGGTATGTTAAAGGTATTATGGTTCTGCACCTATGGGTTGTCGTTGCACAGGAATAAAACAAAAAACAAACAAAAAAAAAAGGCATAAAAAAAATCAGATTATGTCAGATTGTGCTTCCTGCTTATTCTGTGTTTCAGTCTGGTACTCACCTTTCCAGTGTTTTATTGTAGGTAATCCTGTTATATTACATTCTGCAATATAACACATAAACTGTGCTGCAGGTCTGACGGCACCTGAATGAAAGCTGCTGAAGTACGCCCAGCTCCCTGCGTGGAAAGCCGAGTCCTGCTGTTCCTGATGGAATCTTCCTGCCACTGCCAGAATCTTTTCAAGAGCAATTTCTCCAAGGCCTGAATCCGTGCCCATTGAAAGCAAAGGGAAAGATTCCTATTGATGGCAGCAGGCCCAAATAAGCCAGAGGTCCAGGCTGTCTTTGCCAGAAAATTTTGTTTATGTGCATTTTGATGACTTCTAAAGCTTCTCTTTTGTAGTTGACTTTCTTATGGAGCTTACTTTCCAGCGAATTTTTTCCAGACATTTCACATACTGTATAAAGTGGGGTTGACATGTTTCTGTTCCTGATTCAGCACAGAAGATCATTTTATCAGATTAATTTTTTAGAGACCTGCTTTAGGCAGGGTGCACTGTGAAGTACATGCAATATTAAAACATTCTGCTGTCCAATGGCCTGATTTTCTCTGTATAAACACATGGGATGAAGGTAAAAGACTCAGTCATGTGCTAAAGAAAACGGTACACTGCCTTCACAATAAAACCATAGAAGCCAGGTTTTTAACAAGTTTACTCAACGGCTGAATTTTTCTTGCATTTTGGCTTGGGAGGTAAGTATAGACATTCCAGAGCGGATGGGGATCGAGGGCAGATTTCGCAGTGGAAAGAACTAGGACAGTCCCATAAACTCCCAGGGAAGGCGTGGGAGCCTGTGGTCACATACATCCTCCTTTGGTGCCACTAAATGGCAATTTATTGCCAAGGTGCAAATCAGGTGAACAAACCTGATGAAAGGGGCTCGTTGGGGCACCTGAGTTATCTACAAAAATGTACAGGAAGGGCATGAAATACTGTGCACCTTGTAGGTAAGGGTTTATTTCTGGAGATCTGACCCATCATTTAATGCAATCGCTATGCTGAGGTAACTGCCACCTGCAGAAAGGAAGAGCTTGTCTGTAGTATAAACAAGTGCACTCGGAGTGCAAAGACTGTCTTCTCCTGCCTTTAACTCAACTTGCCTTCTTCTGTTGGGGCAGGAACAGTACGCACAGTTGCAACTCACTTTTCATGGATGAAACTAGTTGAAATATTGTTTCAGGCCAGACATCAACTAGTTCAAGTGGTAACTGAACAATTAGTTCAATTCAATTAATTCAATAAATGAAAAAACAAACAAACAAAAAACAAAAACAAACAAACAAACAAACAAACAAAACAATTTAAAAAATACCCTTCCTCAGTATTAAGAATATAGGTTTTTTGTTTGTTTTGTTTTTGTTTTTTACATCTTCAATATTCTAGCTAATATTTCAGAGAAGAAATCACAACTAGATGGAGTTTGGCTAACAGAGCTTACTCTTCACCCTCTCACTCTCCTCACTTATCAAGAGGAGACAAGATAACGTTTAAACTTGAAACACCACTGAAAAACTAGTTAGGAATTTGCTGGAACCATAAAGACGTGATTTCAAGGGCTCAATAAAACCAGTTTCAGGAAGAAGACAGCAGTTTCCTAAGCAAGGGTAAATGGCTCACGGTAACTTTCAGAGGGGCAGGATCTGATCTTTTGCCCAGTGTTGTTAATGGGGCTGCACCCATAAATAGCAGCCATAGTTCCATAATAGAGGAGGAAATTAGTGATGCAACTTCTGCCTCTCCAGCTAAATGACAGCAGGCAGGATAAGCAAGATCCAGCATTCAGCTGGTGCAGTGTTGCAGTCCAGGATTAGGAGGTGCCCTGTGAACACCTCTGCCAAATCCCAGACGCTCAGTGCCAGCACGAAGTAGCAGGAGTCATCTTCAAAGCCTCAGCCACCCTGCACCAGCCCTGAATGCTTCAGGTCTTACACTGGAAGGTGGAGGGACCTCCCTGAGCTTGCTTATGTCCACCTGACAACGTGCATCTAGGCTCTTATTGCACATCTGTATGCAGACAACCAGATATTCACTGAAGAAATCAAAAAAATAAGTTTCAGTGCAAAACAGCTTCCTCTCTGCTCCTGTAACTGTCCTGTAATTTGACCCCCCTGTGGTAATTTTGTAATACAGCCTCATTTTCCTCTAAGAGATGGAGCTTGCTGGGAAGCAGGGACAATGTCTCCGTTTTGTGTGGCATTTAGTATCTAGCCTGGAACTCAAATGTGTAGGCATTTCTTCTCCCCTCATATTGCAGCTGAATGACTCTGTTGTGTTGATTTGAAATGACCTGACTAATCTCAACTTCCTCTAACAGTTTAATGAAATGTCAGAAGTGAACAAGGTCTGTGGAATTGAAAAAAGACCATTCAAACAATGATGAAAAGAAACACATGGACAGCAGTTTTTAAACAGTCTTTGGGTTATTGGAAATAATTCAATGAGCTTTAGCCAAGCTGCAATATAAACATACTAAGAAGGGACCGAAAAATATTTTATATAAAGCTGCATTTTTCATCTGGACTGTTTAATCCACTTCAGGATTACAAAAATGAGGTACATGGGAAAAGCCACAATTAGGTAAGTTCAAAAACAGAAAAAGACCCTCCCTGCCCCCCTCAGATCGGCTGGTGTTTGGAAATATGTCCTGCAGAGCAACAGTTGCGCAGCCCTGGTTCCAGCATCTGAAATTACAGGAGTGAGAGGTAGTGAGGGTCTGGCAAACTGAGTCCCGTCCCTTTCCAAGGAAAGCTTAATGGCATTCTCAACTGCAGAAGAAATTAAATACAGCCATCGTGGCTCCGTCCCCACTGAATACCAGCTCTGAGCGAAATGCTTACACTGTACCCCCCCCCGCCAAGCACGGTACGAGGAGCTAAAACCAACAAGTCGATGCTTTGCATATCGTTCACATTGTATTTCCTTTGAGGAAGTAAGATGTCCTGAGAGGCAAAAATAGGCTTTCCAGAGGTTACCCTATCTCCCACCTCCCCGTGTCACTGCAGCACATCGCAACTGCAGCTGCAGCCTGACTGCACGCAGGAGGCTCTGGGAGCTCCCAGAACGCAGACTGTATCTCGAGGACCAGGGTGTCACAAATCCTCTGGGATGCCTCTCCCACCTGTAGCAGCTCCAGCATTCAAACACTCCCACTGCCTCCCAGCAGTGCTCTGCTGTGCCAGGTTGGAGGGGCATTCGTAAATGAGGGCCACAAAGGAGTTACACACAACCTTAGGGATGACTGCACGTTCTTGCATGTTAATTAACAATTGCCCCAAGTCCAGCAGCCAAAGCTAGGAGGTGCCAAGTCTGAGTAATGATAGAAAGCTGATCAGCACGGCAACCTTCGCATTCTCAAACTGATACCTTACGGAAAAAGTGACGTGATCTGATCGTGTAATCAAAAGCCAACCTTTGTGCAGAAGCCTGGTGGAGAAGGGAGCAATCTGCAGGTTGGGTGAGCAAACTGTCAAGCTGACAAAGCCTTTTGCATTGCGACCAAATGTCTTTATCTTTGTATATTTTTTGTTTGAAAGCTTGAACTTTTTAGGAAAAAAAAAAAAAAAAAAAAGTTACCTAAAATACCTCTTCTAAACTCCTCTGTCTAAATGATTAAACATTTGAATGCTGAATGACCATTTTTGCTGCACAGATCATTTGAACTACAGGATTTAATATATTAACTGGTATCCAGGCATGTATTAACCCAGACAGAACGAGAAAAACTGATATGTAGAAGCAGATGCAGCTGCGTGAGACTGGCAAGAGCAAGAGAAAACTGAGAGCTAATCCTGTAGGACAGATTTTTGAAGACTGCTAGAAACTCAGAGGAAGACTCTGGACCATGACAACACTAAGCAAGTAGAACAGACAATGCTAGGCCACAGACAAAGCAATGAAGTTAGAACAAGCTTGGATATGGAGAGAAATTTTCTATCTCATCATGGCAGAAGCCCCATCATCTGTCCTTGTCCTTAGAAAGTAAGACCATTTCTGTTCAAAACAAGTTCTTGCACTGAAAAACTAATCCCTTGGTCCAGGTGCTCAGACCATGTGTAATCACCCAGACTGCACCACGCAGATATCTCCACTTGGAGCTTTCTGGGAACTTTCCTGACTACTCGTGCTTTGGCAATGCCTACAGGTCACACTGGGTTAATTTCTTGTATTGCTTGAGATCTGGATTTGGGCTTGATGATATCAGCCAGACGATTGCAGCTGCTCGAGCCTCATGCAATGCAAACTTCAGTTTGCACCACAGAGTTACCACATAATACGGAAGGCTGGATTTTCAGTGCAATTAGGTAGGGGTGATGCCAAACAAAGAGCCAGTGGTATTATGGAGAAAACCTTTGACTCTTAATGCACAGCTCTTGCCAGAGCTGACAGTCTTTCATCTTTCAGCTTACCCTAACGAAGCGCAAATGTAAAGACAGAATTCAATATTTCCAGCAGAATTTATTTTTTCTTCTTTGATAAGGTAATAAATGTCATTTCACAGTGCACCGTTGGGTCAATATACTTTTTTTTTTTCCTGCTCCATTAAATCTCATGATGATTTTCTGGAACAGAACATGTAAGGAATTGGAATTAGCTGGCCATCACTGCAGGTCTCGTGAGCAAGCAGGATGAAGTGTGTGTGCATGAAGAGCGACATTTTGTGCTTGTAGGAAAAGAGACGAAACAATCCACTTCTGTTTTGGGGGGGGGGCATTTAACTCACCATTAAATTTTAGAATACTATCTTTTAATTTAGGTTGTTGACTGTAGTCAAAGGAAAAACAAACAAACAAACAAAAAAACCCTTCATTCTTATGCCCAGATTGATTCTGGCACACGTGAATAACCCAACTGCATGTAGTAAAATGAAAAAATATATACTGTCTTATAATAAAGTGTACTTCAGATGATGACAGTGTAATGAAATATTTCCTATCACTTTAATATTTATCAATTCGAATCTTAGGTGTTAAGGGCCTGTATAGGCAAGCAGGGAAGCAAGAACCTCCATCTGCAACCTAGAGTTAAAACACGCTTTTATAAAGGTAAAGAGAAGTTTAATTGTAAATATTAACTGAATTAGATTACTGTGCATTGTGAAACGGAGAAGGAGGAAAAGAGAAGACGAAATTAAGATACATCACCATGAACTCTGTCTTACCTGGGAATTCCTGTTAAACTACCAGATACTAAGAGAAATTAACTCTGCTGAAACCAAGGAAAATCAACTATCAGCTTCAATAGCAAGGATTTATTTAACTCATGGGATGAAATTAAGATGGAACATGGGAAAATGTAATAAAATTGAAGTACCTGCATTAATTACAGATTATACCTAGATTAAACACTGAATTGATAATAAACAAGCATGAGTTTCATGCAAATCGGGCCAATGATTCTTGAAATCCCGCATCTTTTGTGTTCTCATTGTGATGTTTGAGAGCTCTTCTATACCAAAAAACTGTGGAGGTTTAGCAACATTAAAGGTGTGGAACAGTTAATTTGTAAAATTTGTCAGAAGGAAGGAGAGGTTT